TACTTTTCTTAAGGTTAATCTTTAAGTAAAACTTATTAAATCTAGTAGTACTTCTAGGTTTACTACTAAAATCTAGTTTTCTAACCTAAAGACTATACTAATATAGTTATTAATTTATAATAAAATATTAGTAATCTTAGTTAAGCTATTTATCTTAATTACCTTAATAGAAATCTTTAAAAGGGCTTTTTTTATATAAATATATATAGTAATTAGTTACTTACTAAACCTAAAGGAAAGTTAAGTATCCTAAGTAAAAGGTAGGCCTAGTAAAAGTAGATTAGCTATTTCTTATTTATCCTTAATAAAAAAGCAGAAGGTTACTTTATATTTATTAATCTAGATATTAGTAAAATAGAAACTATTAAATATTATATTACTATTTAGATTAGACTTAAAAGTCCTTATTTAAAGACTAGTAACTATATATAGGATCTTAGTAGCTTTAACATACTACTTTAAGAGGATATTAACTTACACTTTAGTATTAAAGATTACTAAAATTAAAAGGCCTTTATTTAACTAATTAACACTTAATATTTAGACCTCTAGTTATAAGTATATATTTAAAATAACTAAGGTTAGTAGTTTTACTATAGGCTTTATACTTTATACTTTATTAATTTTAATAGATATTAAGGACTTATTATTAATTAAGGTATTATACTTATTTAGTAGTTCTTTAATATCTTTTTACTACTAAGCTATTTCTTTAAGATTAATTAAGGACTTTAAGGCCTTAATTTAAACACCTTTAGTGTTAATATACCTTTAATTATATAAAGTAGCGCTTATAGCTATATTAAACTTTAGCTATATTTTTTAAAGAAGTCTAATAAGAAGTAAGACTAAAGCGTCTAGCTTTTTATTAGCTAACTTCCTTACCTCCTAATATAAATTAAGGCCTTAAGCTTACTTAAAGGCTATAACTTCTTTTAATTTATTAGGCTCCCCCTTACTTATATATAGTTTATAGTTTTTAAAGGTAGTTATAGGTTCTATAGGCTTTAGTTATAATAAAATAGTTATATTTATCTTAGCTAGTAAAAATACTTAATCTAGATTATAATTATAATTACTATTATTATTAACCTTTATACTTTTCTTATTTTTTAAAGTAAATAAAATAGTTTTTTTTTTAATTAGCTAAGGCCTAACTAACTTTTTTATACTATATGCTTTTTATAATTTATCTTAAGTATATTTATCTTAGCTAGTATAGTTCTTAAGAGGCCTACCTTATTACACTATAAAGACGTTAGCGTATTCCTACTCCTTATCTTCTAGTTATACTATATATAGGTACCTAATATTACTTATTAGTGCTATAGATAGTAGATCTAGAGTGCTTTACTAAGGGTATCTAACTTATTAATCTAGAATACACTTTACTAAGAACTTATAGTCTTTATTAGTAAATATATTTATAATATAAAAAAGTAAGGTAACTTAATTAGTAACTTTACTTTATTAGCTATCTTTAATTACTAGGAATAGTATATTATTTATTAGACTTTACTTATCTTACTTTTTATAATACTAGGCTCCTTAGACTAAAATTATAAGATATATATCCTTATTAAAGGTGTATTACTAATAATCTTAAATAAATTAATACTTATTAGACTAGTAGTACTAATATTTATCCTTTAGTCTTAATACTTTTACTTAATCTAGTTATACTATACTAACCTTAAACACTTAAGTAGACCTCTTTAGCTAAATAGAATTTTAATATATCTTAAGTTTACTTATACTATTAGTAAGGTCTTAATTAGTATTACTTAAGACTAGTTAGTTAACTTAGATATTAATAGTTAATTATCTTAGTTACTAGTAATCTTAGTACTAATAAGTAGAGTTTCTTTAGGACTATTACTAGGCTAGTTAAGTTATAAAGATACTATTAGCCTTACTATTAGTAAATAAGGGCTTATACTTTTTCTTATAAGTAATTATATTAAGAAGTTTACTCTTAAACGTTATATACTTTATTAATTAAATAAAAGCTAAAAGGCTAATCTTTATTTTATTTACTACTTTTTCTATAGTCTTAGCGTTAAATTACTTATATATAGCCTTAATTAGGCTTTTATTAGAAATTATATAGAGGCCTTATTACTTTACCTTAGTAATTATATTATTAACACTAGTAAAAAGTACTTTAGCTAAGTATAAGTCTAAGCTAGAGATTAGTAATCCCCTTATAACCTTTTTAATTTATTTTTTTTTATTAAGAAATTAGTTAGCGTCTTATTTTCTATACTCCTTTAAGAGATAGGCCTTAGCCTAGACCTAAGGTAAGTCCTTAATTATATCTTTTACTAAAGTTTAATAATCTCCCCTTATATAGTAGGCTATTAGTATACCCCTTAATTAGTTTAGTACTTATATAAGCTTATATTAATCCTTATACTTTTTTAAGAAGTTAATAATATTATCTTTAGAAAAGACTATAGTACTACTTTAGCTTAAAAAAGGTATCTTAAAAAAGTTTAAGTTTTTTCCTTAGTTAAAGACTATATTTACTATTACTTATAGGACCTTAGGCTAAATCTAGGTAGTAAAAGTAGTAAGAAGGGTATTTATAAAAAGGTTAAGTTCTTAAGAGATAAAAAAAGGTTTCTATTTCTAATTAAGTACTATAAGTAGAGGATTAAAAGTGTTACTACTCTTTTTATCCTTAAAATAATTAATCCCTTTTAGCTCTTAATACTTAGTAAAAGCTAGTTCTCTTACTAAAGTAGTATTTAAGGTTAAGCCTAAGGTATACTTAAGAGCAGCCTCTTAAGAAAAAGTAGTATAGTTATTACTTATTATATTAGTTAGTAGTTATTTAGTATATAACTTATTAATTAAGTTAAAATTTTTAATAATTATATTTTAATTTAAACCTTTTAAGATTCTTCTTAAAAGTACTAAAGTAACTTATTTTATTATCTAAGCTAAGCTTATACTTCTAATTAGTAAAATCTATATAATTATTTTTAGCTCTTACTAAACTTATTAACTAACTTTTAATAAAGAGGGTTTTTTAATTTATTATAATTTCTTTATAAAGTTATAAAAGGTGTTTAAATTAGTATACTTATAAGGAGTCTTAAGGCTAATAGCTTTATATCTCTAGATTAGGTAATTCTTAAGGTACTATTTTATATTAATTAACTATAAGTAACTAATTATAATAGACTATCTTACTTATAGGGACCTTTAAGAGCTTTATTTAGCTTCTTTAGTATTTCTATAGTCTATTTTAGTTATTATTATAAATTAGTAACTTTTAAGGTTTTTACTTATTATCTTAGTCTTATAATTAAGTAATTTCTATTATCTAAGTTACTAATCTATTACTTTATTATCTTATTATCTTTTTAAGGTTTTCCTTATTCCCTTAATTAGTTACTTCTTATAATCTTATTATCTTATTATTATTACTTTTTATAATTACTTACTTAGTGTACTTAACTAGATATCTTTCTAATTAGTTTAAACCTATAGTTAATATTCTAAAAGGGAAGACTATTAAAAGTATGTAAGGTATAAAGGACTCTTATAGTATAGTAACTATATAAAATACTATAACTACTAAAAGTAATATAAGATTCCTTACTAACTAGTATATAAATTATATTAATCTATTTAAAATTAATATTAGTTATAAGTATTAAACTATAGGATTAAGTATAATTATACCTTAATTAAGTAGGTAATTACTCCTAATTATCTTATGTTATTATAATTAAAGGTAAATTATAGAGAGGCTCTAGTTTAATTAGAAAGTAGGTATAAGTATAAAGAATAAATTATACGTATGTATCTCTAAATCTATTAACGCTAGCTTATATCCCTGTACTTAATCAGGATTAGGATCTTCTAATTAGCCTGTATACTATCTTGCTCTAGGCTAATTGCCCTACCCTACTCTAATAGTAAGGTAATTATTAATTAGCTAATTAGAACAAGTAGATTAAATACTTATGTATAGAACTATATGTATTTAATAGAGTTTCTATAGACGTAGTAGGAGGGGTATATATAACTAAATTTTGAAAAGACAGAGTGAGCCTTGCAGGCTGCCGTACCAGCCCTTGTGATAGATAACGGCGATGCCAGCCAATCGCAATAGATAACAGTAATGCCAGCCCATTCAGGCCTATCGCGATAGATAACGGCGATGCCAGCCCGGCCGCGATGGGCAACAGTGATGCTAGCCCAGCCATATCTATCACGATGGGCCCAGATGGGCTGGCATCGCCGTTATTTATTGCGATAGGCTAGCATCGCCGTTGCCTATCGCGGCCGGGCTGGCATCACTGTTGCCTATCGCGATGGGCCCAGATGGGCTGGCATCGCCGTTATCCATCGCGATGGGCTGGCATCGCCGTTGCCCATTGCGGCCGGGCTGGCATCAAGCCAGGATTCACATTTGTGTGTTTTCAGCGCACGGACTGAAAAGTAGGTTTTGGACGCTGCCAACGCAACAGACTGTACAACAGTTGAGGTGGGAGGGATTGGAAATGGGCTCTTCAGACCATATGCGGGGGTGCTGCTCTATCGTGGCCTACCTCCGCAGGCTGTTGCAATGGGCCGAAGATGACTTTGCTCTGTGGATGCAGACCGCCATGCTTCCGTCTACTTGAGAAAACGCGATAACCGACGACGCATCATCAGAGCCCGCTTTAGAAGCATGCTTTCTTGGACCATGTTGGATTCTAGGTACAGAAGGGAGCTAATTGCGCTAAGCCGCTTAGTTGCAGGAAGCTTAATTGAGGGGGTTGTTCATGTCAACTTCTTGTTCCTCGGCGACTGACAGTTTCGCAAGATCCTTAGTTGAACAGACGGTTATGTATCTGTCGTGAAGCTGGGATAGCTTCGTGTGGCGAGTACTAGTGGTGTCCGCTCACGATGTGGCTTGTTTCCCGGACGGACCACGTGGGATAGGTATTCCCACCCATTCTCTGGCTCATACATAGATTCTTAATGGGACAATTACTTTGATCCTAAATTGGCCAGACGCTGCGGTTCATGGCAGTATCCCAGTTGGAGGAGGAGGAGACGGAGTACATGGCGAGGAAGATCTGACCCGGCTCTGGTTGCCAGACCTGATTGTCTGTTTAGCTTGCTACTAATAATATGTTTTATCTACAACTTGGTTTGCAGTTATGCTTCTGAGAAGGTCCCGTCACCTAACAACATGTTGGCTTGTAGAATAGAATATGTACCCATAAGCCTTGCTAGGTTATCACGAACCATATCTCTCAGTGTTCTTACCTACAGCTTGACGAAAGTTCTGAACAGCTCGGCGGAGGACCAGAAGCCAAACGACTGACCTTCTGTATTGTGACCGAACTCTCTCCGCCCTTGCCACGGCGTCTGGTTGAGGCATCCTCCACAGCGTCTGTAGTCCGCTAGCCGACTTAAATAAGCCTTCAAGTCCAAGCTTAAGTCCTTCTGCAGACTCTTCGTTGATCGGAGTAGGACCCATGGCTGGGTTAAGCTGCGTATATGCCAATATGAACATGTCAAGACCTCTCTGCATCTCTAACTGTTGGTATTCGGCCTCTGATTCCGATTTTGCCTCCTCATCTATCCGACAGGCGTCTCGGAGGGCCTCTTCGTGAATCAGGCTGATGTTACGAATCATGCCTGCGAGTGATCCCAGCCGGGATAGGCGTATCTCTTCCCTGGCAGCCGCATCCAACTCGCGTCTCAACCTTGACCGAATCCCGGGCCGGTGTCTGGCAAGCAGCTGTTTTGAACACCTTGCCCCATTAACCATATCTGCAAGCTGGGCCGCACGCTCAGCCGTGCTTTCTATGAGATATTCGTCAAGTTGGCATATCTCATGCGGTTGTAGGACGGCATCGGTTGACGTAAGTAGCGATCGGCAGAAATAGTCCCGGTACCCTCCTGCCTGGACATGAACGCGCAGCGGTGCTGTCCCGTTAGGTACACCAACTTGCTCTGCAAACAGCAAGGTGAAGATGCCACAGTCTGTGTCATTGTCTTGCTGGGTACACTAGGTGATTGTTAGACATTTTCAGGGGCTAGATACAGTTGCTAATCAGCGCGTACCTCGATCTCTCTGTGATGAATAATCATGTCTACATCACCATACGCCCATCGTAGAAAGCTTTCGACTCTGGGTCCCGCGACAGCGCCTAGGCCAAGACTCTGGCACGAATCGTAATGTTCGAGAGTGTGTCTGAACTGTGACCAGCGGAAGAGGGACCAGTGGGGTGGGGAGGGATGGTTATACACCATCAGCACGACGGGCTTTAACAGTTGCGACTGGAGCTTGTTCCTGGTCGAATGGGTACACTGCAACTGAAAAGCAAGGCTATTAACAATTCCGACGTCATTTGGAACGATGCGCCTCATCAGCGTCATAATCGAATCGTCGTTGCAAAACACGCCTGGGCGGAGACTGGTCTGACTGTGGATTCGAAGCCTGAGATCGGCCCGCGATACAATTGGGCCTTGCGTTTGACCAGCGCGGTCGCCATTCATTGATGCCTCGAACAGTATTAGTGGGGAAGTTTGGGGAGGAGGTGGCGATCCAGGGAGATGGGACGATTTGGGGAGAGATGAGAGCCGAGGGAGTGAGGATGACCGAGAAGGGCCCGAGACCGGCGTTGGGTACTTTGGTATGTCGAAGGCTATTTCAGATGCGTTCCTGATTCTGATGGTGTTCATTTCGGACGTAGAAGGTGAATCTCTTCTTATTCGCTTAAGGAGTGGCGAGGTTGGATAATGGTGTTTAGGTAACGGCGATGCGGACAAGCTTGACGCTCGGCGCTTCTGACCTGGACGACTCATGGTCACGCTTCCCCAGCTACTTTCAATAGACTCGAGGATGGGGATGGGGGAAAAGAGTGGGGAGGCGTCATGGTTGTTGGCGTTATGATGATGCTCGTGTTTCCTGCTTGCTTCCACGGGGGGATGGTTGGCCTCGGTGTCTTCAGCTTGGTGCAATCTGTATGTGCTGTCCTTAAAGTCATGAGTCTGTGTGCCACATTAGTTGTGTGAGTTCTAACGTGTTGATTTGATGAGATGGCATACGGATGTCTCTTTGTCTGTCTCAGCATCACTATGTTCTCCGTCGCCCCAGGTAGCATCGCCATCATCGCGACTCCTGATGTATTCTTCATCTTCGTCGCTAGCGTTGTTAACAGCTTGTTCATCGTTGTCGGCAGGTGTAGGTTGTCTGTCTTTCGGCAAAGTCGGGAATTGCGAATCTTCCTCGGATATGTCACTCAAAGCGGAAACGGAGATCTTGGCTGGTCGGGTTCGGAAGGTTTTGAGGTGCCTCTTGGCCGTGGAAGGGGCCTGCTTCTGCCAGATCCTCGCGTCAACTGCGGTTGCAGAATTATTAATCAGTACGTCAAGTGGTGGGAAGGGGGGTGCCAGTAGGCAAGTACGAACAGTGCTGGATTGTGCTTTTTAGGGCAGTATTTGGTATACGTGATGAAGAACGGCGCCCGCGCTTTGCAGATTCTAGGGCGGCAGACTGTGAGACAAAGACTTGAAGGATGCTGGAGAGAGACAGATCGGGATGAGCATTCCGCAGCTCGGCTAGACTGTTAGTGCAGGTGCGAGAGGCAGCACACTCGGGAGTGAAGAGGAGACAGAAAATAGCAGGTGAGATGTCGAGTTGCTTGGCTATGCCTCTGAGTCGTGTCTTCTGGTCGTTTGAGATCCGGGAAAGATCGTTTCGATACTGCTTCTCGGTTGCTATCTCGAGAATGGGGCGACGAACCTCGGTGAAGGCGAAGATGGGAAAGGCGGCTGGTTTGTCAGAGGGCTGCTCTGAGCTGAGGCTGAAGGCTTGCCGCAGTTGCGCCCACAGAGTTTCGACATCAGCACTGGGGTCGAGGGCATTGAGAACATTGAGTGTTTGGGTCAGCGGCGGTACTGCGCTAGACGAGCGGCGCGTTGAAGCGGCCATTTCTCGCAGGGAGTAGCCAAGAAAAAGGTTCTTTGTGTGAAATGGTTGTTAGGTGGGTGGAGGTGAAGGTTGGAGACAGAAGAAGAATTGGCGACGACTGAAGTGGATGAAGAAGTGTTCTGGGCGAGCAGTTGCAATTATTGGCAGGAGCTCAGCAGTGATACGAGACAGGATGGTCGTGGGCGGTTGGTGAAAAACCGCCCAAATTCCTGGGCGATTCTTGCAGCAGCCCCCCCCCCCCTGGAAGGTACGGGTACGTACCAATGGGTCATAAAATCAGGACCTGATAGTCAGCACTGAGGGGGGTGTTTTCCCTTCTGCATCATCATTAGCACCATCAAATTGACCTTTGTTTTGGTCCTTTTCATTCAGCACCGAATCCATCTCCCCCCGGGAGGGTCCCACCCCAGCTTGACTGACACTGCTCGGGATGCGGCCACACCACGTGGTGGCGGGTGGGGGCATTCAACATCAACGCCTTGGCGGCTATTTCTTTCCCAGCTCCAGGACTCAAGGGTGTCCCCCATGTGTGCGTTGTTGAATAGGGCGTCAGTCAATACAAATAGACAGCCCTAGGCTACAGGTGGTCCTGTTCTAGCAGTAGTTCATCTCTAAGATGCTAAGATAATGATTATTTGCAGCTTACAGTGAGCGCCACGAGTGCATTGCCAGAGTAGCATCAGCAGCATTTCATAGCATTGTCAAATCCAATTGATTTAGGTCCCTTGGCACTTTAAGAAATGCTTGTGTAATGCTCTCTTAAGGACGATACCTGCTGTCTTAAGGACGAAACCCGGCATGCTATGTCATATCTAAGCTAGGCCAATTGGCGTGGGCGCTTTCTGGCCACGGTGCACGCCATGTCATGGTTGCCGCTGCCACCCGGCTTGAAAACAGAACCCGCCAGTAGGCCAAGAACAGGAAGTGCGATGAAGGAATGCAATAAGTTTCTATGTACGACGGTGCGTCGGCCGCGACAAGTTCTAGAATATAAAGGTCGATATTGTGATATGTGTAATGTCTACCTTTAGGAAATTCGGGTGTACCCATGGTCTGTGATGGGAAATCCTGTCATTCTTGGCTAATGAGGGCATAGAACTAGAAGAGCTCCAAGATTGGGCTTCTCTTCACGGAGAGCGGTACACGGCACTTTGTTTCCGACGTTCAAGACGGAAGACTAGAAATGAAGCAGCAAGCCTTGACTTGGGTCCTTGAACTTGTCAGATAGCAAGGCAGCGATGGCGTCCTCCTAAGCTGCATTCATATATGTATGTTCGGCATCCAGTCGTTGCTGAGAGGGCACGGGCGGTTTGGGGCGAACCGCCCAAAATTATGGGCGATATATAACAAACCGCCCAACTTGAGATTACCTAATCAACAACCCACCCTTGGTGAACACCAAGTACCAAGGCTTTATTTTTCTCGGCCGGAGGGAATTCAGGACGACGTCATTTGTACCCGCAGGATAATTACTCCAAGCCTGCCTGTAGGCACCTGTAATTTCTGCAAATAGGTACTAGTCTTTCAGGTCGCCAACTGCGCATAATAAGGCGCTTAGAGGAAGCACGACAATCCTTTAATTATGCCTATTTCAGCCAAGCAGCCCAGTATAAAGACTACCTAGAGAATTAATGCCTACATAATAGGGTTACACTGTTATATTAAACTAAGCAGTCTTCTTCCCCTCTCCTAAATATACTAATTTATTTCCCTTCTTCTACCTAACAAATCTTCCCTCCTTTCCAGCAGACGCAGCCATAATTAACGACGCTATAATATCAACAATGCCTTACCCTACTCGCCACCCGTCCCGTCGCCGTTAGCATCAAGACAGAACGCAATAACAGCCATCAGCACAGCAGCTCCCATAGGGCTTATCAATTCTATTAGATCCATCTGGTTGCTTTATAACGATAGCATCGCCCTAACAGCAAGAACACCATGTAGCTCGCTCGCCTACAAACACCCTAAGCAATTAACCAGGACTATAACCAGCTTCACTAACGACAGGCTTCACGTCACCACAAACTAAGTCTTATGATATTAACAACAAAGAATACTTTAGTCCAATCATAACTAACATGCGCGCTCTAGACCCAGGTGCAAGTTCATTCTATCTATAATTAACGCGCCAGCTAACTAAAGGTGCAGCTAGCAAATGTAGCACCCGCCGGCTGCCAGGTGTGTTAACCTCACTCCTATCAGCTGCCAGGTGTGTTAACCTCACCCCTGTCAGCTGCCAGGTGCTAGAAATCCACTCCCGCCAGCTAAACCCACTGCAGAATTTAATCAGCAGAGGTACATGGCGTCAAACCCTCTCAGGGCCAGAGCTCCATATCGCCTGCCAGCATGCATACCTTAGACGAGGTGTAGTGTAATGGATCGACAAAGGCGTAGCTGTAACGATGGCAACGGACGGGCTGAGTTCTTTGATGTGGTGCACGCGTATCGGCGACTAAGCGGTTCTACTTTCTGCCTAGGTCGGAGCGATACAGTCTGTTGCGTTGGCAGCGTCCAAAACCTACTTTTCAGTCCGTGCGCTGAAAACACACAAATATGAATTTTGGCTTGATGCCAGCCCAGCCGGGCCCATCGTGATGGATACGGCCGGGCTGGCATCACGGTTGCCCATCGCGATGGGCCCGGCCGGGCTGGCATCACTGTTATCCATCGCGATGGGCCCGGCCGGGCTGGCATCAAGCCAAAATTCATATTTGTGTGTTTTCAGCGCACGGACTGAAAAGTAGGTTTTGGACGCTGCCAACGCAACAGACTGTAGGGGTGGGGTCTAAGAAGCAAGCAAGCTGCGCAATGGATGCGACCGTGGACAGATGTTGGGGCAGAACCAAGGTCAGTCCCCCCACTGCAACCCAAGATGAGCAAGGCTAATCGACGCAACGTAAGCCGCAACCATCGAGAAGAAGGCATGCGTGGTTCATCTTGAGTGCCTGTCGCAGGATCCGGCCACTCAGCTTGTGTGAACACCTGGGGGCCAAGCCACTGGGACCAATATGGCGATGTGGGTGTTCCAGAAGATGTCGCGCGAGTTCAAGGCGACGGGGATAGGGTGCTCCTTGATAACAACGAGGATAATGGTAATGAACAGCGGATTAGGGGACTAGGGAACAATAGGACGGACGATAGTGTTAAAGTCGTTGTAGGAGGGCGATATGGGCGAGATGGATAGATAGACATCAGTGGAGTTGTCGGCCAAGATTGTGTAGGTACAGGTAGGTAGGTACCTTACCTAGGTAGTTTAGCAGATAGCTAGTGGCTAGGGATTTACATAACAACTTGGCTGGTTGGCATCTTGCGCGCCACGCGACGCAGGAGATAAGCGAGATGATAAGCTTTCCTTCCTTTGCTACAGGCTATGTACAATGTATGACGCTATCTATATACACAGGAGAGGACTTAGATGACCTGACTACTTGCATACGTCTTACGAGCCAAGAGAACACGGAATAATGTGGATAGATGACGTAGGATAGAGTTCTGACGATAGATTCCCTAGTGAATCAGAGGGAGTACGACAGGTTAATGATGATGTGGGACGTCTACTACTAAGGCACAGGAAAGGCTGGAGACAGGCCATCTTTATAGTAATGCATAATTAGGCTTTAACGCTCTGTTTGTTTAGTATTACACTGTAAAGCCTAATTGCTTGGAATAAAAACCACCCCCTGTTCTGAATCCAGTGTTCTGCGCTTACAGCATTTGGGCTTGCTATTAGTAGAGATCCCTCGGTCAAAATTGTGACAAGAGCCACCAGGTAAAGATAGCCAGGAGCACAGAGGCGAAAAGGAGAAGGATCAACGCCGTGGGAGGAATGAGCTTGCAGCCTGAGCCCACAAGGAGTTCATGGCTGAGGCTGTCGCCCTTGTATTCCACGGTAGATTCTGTGGCCCTGAAGGTGGATGCTGTGCTTTTGGCTCTGGTGGGGTGTGTAGGGACTGGTGTCGAACGGCGGGCTCGCTGCTGCTGGATGGTGGGGCCATGAATGGGACAATCGATCTCCTGCAAGGACGAAGTGGATTAGATTGGGTCGCAGCGACAACAGTGCCGGTGTGGATGTTGCTGCATGCAGACTTACAGAACGAGCGATGAAGACGTCGTCAACAGCCAAAATGACGGCGTATGACTGGTAGCCTCTTGAAGCAAATTGCCGGGCGAGGCTAGAGCGACAGGTGGATAGAGCGCGCAGGGAGTGGCCTGTCAGCCCGAGAGGCGATGTGCCGTCGGTTTGGAGATTGCGAAATCGGATGACCTGGTGGTACCAGGCCTCGACGAATGGGACGGCCGCCGTCACAGGAGGAAACGAGTTGGTGAGTCGGACAAGATGGATCAAACGCCTCTCGGCGACGCATTGCTCGTGGATGTGGACGACGGGTGCGTGACGATGACGACTGGGCCCGACCTAAGGGCTTAGAGGGTGGTGGGAAGAAGCGTCATTGCGAGGCATGGCGCAGCGGCTTGGGCTCCCTATGCTAGAGATGGATTGATTGCATCGCATCGAATAGAGAGGTAGGTTGGTGGTTGTGAAAAACGCGTCTGACGGAGCGACATGAAATGACGGGACCGACTGTAGATAGAGAGTAAGAGTGATTGGTGAATGACGGAGGAGATCAGCATTGCTCCAGGGGCTTTTCAGTGGGCCTCGGTGGGTGGTGGTTGGGCCCTTGGTGGGCAGCTTCTAGGTAACTACAGGGTAGGTGACGGGTAGATGGTATCTAACCACATATGGCAATGTTAACCACATTAGACACGCACCGCCACAGCCCCAGCTACAGTCAGCCACCCTTAACATCACAAAAGATTCTACATCTACCTGGGGGTGCAAGTCAGTGCTGTTGAGCTAAACACCCCCTCCTCATAGAGGGGGTGAAAAAATAGGGTTACTACTTAAGGTATCTTAGATAACTTCTTATAGTAAGTGTTTAAATAAAAAGAAGAAATGCTTAAAACAAGCATAGAAATCTAGTTAATTCATATACTATAAA